CTCGGGCTCCCTGGGCAAATCTTCTGGCTGATAGTCCAGCACCTCGGGCTCCGCATCCCGGGGCATCTCGGTGTGAGTTCGCTTGGCAACCCGCTTTCTCCTCTTCATGCCTTGGAACAAGTGCCCACCCCGGGTCCCTCGAGAATCCATCACACCTGCGAAAAGAAGTTCACCGTCAGTAAAAAGCAAGAAAGACAGTAAGACAAAATCTCTAAGTGAAGAACCTACCCGAACTCAGGCTGGCCGCAATGAGCTTGGCCTCCGTTAGATACTATTGACACTTCAGCCTAAGCCGCGCCCATTGCCGGAGGCCCTTCGCCGTCTCTTTGTCAAGCGTGACCCCGGAGTCAGGAGCGGCCATCCCCCACCCGGTCTAAAACGGCCACTCCAGCACACTTCGCACCCTGAAATTGTCCCGCTTCCATGCTGGGACTTTGTTGGGGAGCTCATGTAAAAGCTTAAAGCCCGGGCGAGGAGACAAGTAGTATGCCCGCCTACACCCGAGGAGGGGACCCGCTTGCTTCTTAAGCATCAAGATTGAAGAAAAAATCTCCAAGTCCAACGGAAAGCTCTCTTCACAAAATAAGGAGATTGTCCCCACCAAATTTCGAATGGAGTTCGGGTGAAGCTGGCCGATCGTCATGCCGAAGTGGTTCAAAACTTCGACAAGGAGGGGATGGAAAGGCAATCGCAGCCCCGCGGCGAGCTGCTCCCGGAATATCACGATCTCATCACGACCGTGTTCCCAAGGAAAGCTACCYGAAGGTATGAAATAAGCGTACTCCCCGAGAAAGTTATAGTAGGTAATGAGGGATTGGAGCTCCTCAGGCGTCATGGTCGAAGGACCAAACTTGTCTAACATCCGACCCCGACGAGAGGTGGATGCCAAACTACTCGAAGCGCCTCGGCCTACGAGCTCGAACTCTTCCTCGAACTCTACCTCGAGCTCTAACATCCGACCCCTGCTGAAAGGACTATCTGAGCCATCCAAGCTAGACATCGGGGAGTGAGATGGGATCCAGGAAAGTACTCACCCGGAAAAAGGTTGTAGACCACAGGAGCTCGGACGAGCGGAAGACCTTGAGTGCGAACTGAAAAAACCTGGACGCGAACTGGATGCGAGCTGAAACTTGAACGCGAGCTCGAGAGAAATACAGAAGTGACAACAACTGGGGTCCCTCCCGCTATTTATACTCATAGTGACCGAAAAGCGACGGCTTGGATCAAAGCCAATCCGACGGCCTACAACCGCACTGACCGCACGTCCCCTGAGACTGAGACGTGATTGGCGCACGTCTTTCTGAAACTGACAGAGTGCCGGCGCACATCTTTTCGAAACTGACGGAATGCCAGTGCACGTCTCCTCAATAAAAGCGGCAGCGGCATGTCTTTTTCAAATTTGAAAAGATGCCCGCTATCGCGCCTCCCAAGTGGTGCGCTTTTTTTAAATTTCGAAATAAAGCGCGCGCCGCCACATCTATCAGCGTTTAGGCAGGCCGGCGCGCTTCCCGCTTTTTGGACGCTCGAAGAAACCCAAGGAACCCTGACAACGCACCTTGCGCCGTCAGAACCAAGATTCAAAGTGCAGGGAAAATCTACCTGGCACCTTACGAACTCCCCGCGCCAGGGCAAGACCCTTAGCACAAGGAGTGGGGGGGGGCAATTGATGAAGGAAGATTTGGCTCGATTTCGCAATCACGCCACGTGGCAAAGAACAAGTAGCTCGGCACTTAAAGCAGCATGCCTAGGGTGCAAACACCAAAGGGAAGAGACCAGTAGTCCGAACTCCCCTCGAGGAGACCGAACTCCCCTCAAGGAGACCAACTCCCTAAGAGGAGCCCGAACTCCCTACAAGGGGCCCGAACTCCCTAAAAGGAGCCCGACCTCCCTACTAAGAGCTCGAACTCCCCGCACCAGGGCAAGACCCTTAGCACGAGGAGTGGGGGGCAATTGATGAAGGAAGATTTGGCCCGACCTCGCAATCACGCCACGTGGCAAAAAACAAGTAGCTCGGCACTTAAAGCAGCATACCCAGGGTGCAAACACCAAAGGGAAGAGACCAGTAGACCGAACTCCCCTCGAGGAGACCAACTCCCTAAGGGGAGCCCGAACTCCCTACAAGGGGCCCGAACTCCCTAAAAGGAGCCCGACCTCCCTACTAAGAGCTCGAACTCCCTAAATGGAGCCCGACCTCCCTACTAAGAGCTCGAACTCCCTACTAAGAGCCCGAACTCCCTACGAGGAGCCCGAACTCTCCCTTTGGCCCCGAGCCACACAAAGTAGTGACCCGAACTGGCCCGTCTCATGGCAGTTCGGGACACCCCCCCTATTCGAACTTAAAACTTCGCCTCGCACACCGCTCCAAGCACTTCGCCTCCAGAGCATTGAACTGAACAAACCACACTGTACCTGACACCGAAGGAGTCCGTATCCAGGGGCGGCGCACCTGACTGACTTGGGATCTGACACTTGACGGCCGCACTTCAACGGCCACCTGCCATCGTCACCTGCCACCGCCATCTCCAGTTACAGAGACGGCTCCGACAAAAAGAGCAATGACGGTTCTACCCCAACAGAGGCAATGACGCCCGAACTGGCAGAAGCACGGAAGTAATCATTCTCGACCTGACAGAAGTCTAGGAGTGAGTGCGCGAGGTGGTTATAAAAGGCTCTCCACCCCCCTAAAGAGGAGGTATGTAAACTTTGTGCTATCTGGTTTTATCTTGCCTTCGAAGGATTCTAACTTGAGCTTCGGAGCCTTTACACCGGGTTCCCCTAGAGCTTCCTCATCTCCTCCGTTTCAGGTTCCCTGCTACTCAGTTCAGAGGCAAAGTCGTTGACAGCTAAGACCGACCAGATTGCGCATCATCAGATTCCTATGTACATCCTTTTGCTTTGCTTCTACCAAGGACTACTAGATTGCACATCATCACAAATTGCGCATCATCACAGACACCACCAATTCGTCCATTACTCAATTGATCATCAACAAGTCTGAAGCAATGGGCCCTCTATTTTTTTTTTTTTTGTCCTTGAGTGTGTCGGAATAATTTGGGCCAGGGTCTCAATCCTCACTAGAATCCCTCAAAAACTTCTCAACTGTCTATGATCACAAGCCTTCCTTAACAAACAAATAAACAAACATCCATCCCTCACAATGCTCACACACAATTCGATCTCACTTACAGAAAAAAAAAGTTCAGAACTCTCAATCAAATTATAATGCTTTTTTTTTTGTTTCTCTTCTTCCCGTGTATAAACCCAATTACAACAACTTATATCTTTGCTGTATAAATTTTCTTTTATTCTTTTTCACTTCTTTACAGTCTCCCCAGAAGATAAGCAAATTTTTCTCATCTGCTTTCAGTTAGAACCTGGAGAATGCTCCATTTGATACTTAATTAAAATCAATTTATTTGTTCTCTATCGATGATGATGATTTTCATGTAGGAGTTTATTCAGCAGAGTTGTTAATAGGGCATCCCGCTTCTCGGCKCGGCTCTCTTCTCTCATCCTCCTCTGCTCTTCTCTCTCCCTCCATGCCTGTTCCAGAAGCATTCTCTCCCTCTCCAGCTTCGCCATCGACTGCCGCCATTCCTGCTCCAACATCTGTCTCTCTTGTGCCCGCCTCTCCACCATCTCCCTCCATTGCATATCCATCCTCTGCTGCTGCTGAAAGAATTCTTTAAGCATCTCTTGAATGCTACCAGTGTTAGAATTTGACCCTGGTAATGATTTGTCCAACGTAGTCGTCCGCCTATCGGATTTTCTCTTCCGGTTGCTCCTTGAAGGCCGCTCCTCTTCGCTGTGATCTTCATCCGAGTCGTCGTCCTCTGAGAAACCATCGGAGGATTGATCACCACTCAATCTCTTTGTCTTCTTCTTTGCTTGCCTAGCAGACACAGCCTCAGATTCATGGAGTAAGCGCTGCAAGTTCTTTGCTCGTTCTATAAAAACTGCGTGTATCTCCTCAAAGAAGGGGCATTGCCGGCCGTTCTCTGGATCTGATGTTTCTTTACCCTGTTTGTAAATAAATCAAATTAACTAATTAAATCAAATAATTGGGGTCTGAAATCTGGACAAGTTAGAAAACTTACAAGAGAAATTAAAAAAAAAAATCCAGTTATTTTACCCACCGAATTGCTGAAAAAGAATCTTAACTTTCTCTTGTCAACCATTCTCTAATGTAAAAAGTCATCTATTCAAATATCAAGTCTAAATCCCGAAGATTTTCAAAGCTACAATAATGTACTAAAATCCAAATTTGATCAGGTTCTCTTTTATTTGTCTTATTTGATTCAAAGAAGAAGCATGGAAATCGAGATTCAAACAAAAAAGAAGAGCCATTTAAAAGATCTGCGAAACTATTTCCGTTGCAATTTATGCTCTTCAAATGAAATTTAATGCATAGAATACAGACCTTATAGCGATTAACGAGGTTCTTCCATTTGCATTTGCACTGATCAGGGGTCCTTCTATATCCTCTCTCCTTCATCTTCGCCGCGACAATCTCCCAGAGCGTCTTATTCCGCTTAGCAACCGTGAAATCCCTCTCCAACTCAGCGCGAATTGCAATGAAATCTCTGGTTTCTTGATGGCCCCATTGGGGAATTCGGTCCTCCTTCATAGGCATGCTCGGCGTCGAAACCTCGCCGGAGATCGCCGCTCGATTCAGTTGCAACGGCATTACTGACATCATGTTCATCCTACCTAGGGTTTCGTTATCTCCGTCTCTCATCATCATCTTCACCCTCTAGGTTTAGGGTTTCAGTGGAAGCCGATGCCTTGGCGTCTGCCTTCAGTTTTCCCCCTCTCAGAGTCCCCTCTCTCCCTCTCCCTCTCCCTCTCCCCCCGCAAGAGACAACAAAGTCCAATTTCATCGGTCTCTTGACAGTCGTTTATTTATAGGATCCTGTTTTTAAATTGCCAATGGTCTTGGACCAAATTACAGCAATGCCACTGTTACTACCTCTTTATTAATTGGATCGTGAGGTGAGGCATAAACCGACCGACCCAATCATATAGAATGGGCCAGGACCGGGTTTGGTTGTTCTAAACCGATTAAGCCTCCGTTAGGGAGTGTTTATATGCATTTTGAAAAGTGCTTATTGCATTATTTTGGCCTGTTTTAGTCTATTTCATTATTTTTAAAATGAATCGGGATATATTCTTCACAGAGCGCACCTCGCATGGACCTCACAGCCCCATCCCATCATGTACTGGGAACATCTCCCCATGAATAAGAACACAAAAGATGGAATGTTCCCAATATATGGTGGGATGGGACTGTGAGGTCCATTATAATGTTTTATGATACGGATTGATTGGTCACAAAATTTTCAGATATTCAAACCCAAAAACTCATATATCCAATAAGCACTCCCAAAGGGATGCTTAAGACTGAAACCAATATAAATCATATTGCAAAGATACCTTTCTCACAATGTGTAAATCATGTTTTTGAAAACCGGACTGGATGACCTGAGAATTGGTGAAGATTCTCACCTATCTGTTTCTAATTCTCACCCACAAAATCTCTTTATATTTCCTCACTTTCTTTTGAAAGACAAGGACAATGGCGAAGCTTAAAGATGAAACTAGAAATGAGTTATGGTACTTTTGGAATCTGAGAAAGGGCTTCCCCTAAGTTTTAGAAGTTTGGTTGATTCTCTGTTTCTAGGTTTGGGTCAAGTCCGTATTGAAGATTAAAGATTCCAAAATTTTCAATGAGAGATACTCAATTTTCTTTCTCTTCTTGCTTTTGTTTTTCCATACGTGTGAAAGCCATTTTTCTTCATCGTTTAAGATTCCCACACAATTGACTAAATTTTCTTTATGCCTGTGTGAACACCTCTTTCCTAAAACAAAGTTAATTTTTCTGGGTTGAATAAGATTTGGAACTGTATGTGGCTTGACTAAGATGAATAGTGAGTTCGGATCTACTCCTCACACAAACTTGCAGCAGATAGTCCTGCCTCACGCCCACACTCACGAAAGACAAGAGCGCCTACGCCTTGAACTACCAAGCAAGGGATGAACCATCTATCCCACAGCAGGCACTAACACGAAAGAATAAGCAGCCTTAGCGTATCCGGCAGCCAGCCCTATAACATTTCTGCTGTGAGGTTGGTGTGAGATGCGTTCTATGAAAAGCAAATCTGAATTCTCTTAATGGGTGCCCCCAATGTTCAAAGTATCGATACGTATCATATCGAGGGCTTTTTGATACATTCTTACAGGGGGTGTTTTGGGGTCTCAACTGGTTCAGAAGGTGGTCGGACCTTAAATCGATCCCTCTGAACCAGATTTAAAGAAAAAACTAAAAAAAAACAGGTACTGATACACACTAATACACCTCTACCGACATGACGGATGTATCGTGAACCTTGGGTGCCCCATCATAATAATTTGGGCCTTTGGGGCTTATTGTTAGGATTGAATTGGGAGTCTCCGAGATTAGGAAACTCCGCTGAGTTAGGATCGAATTAGGAGTAGGAGTCTCCGTTTTGCTGTGTATGGCTGTGTATATATATCTGAATCTTCAATGAATGAAAACAAGAAAAAAAAGAAGAAACCATAAAAGCTCTGGTTTTACATGGTATTAGAGCCATGGCACTCTGGAGATCAGCGGCAGCAGCAACAATTGTTCAGCGCCGGCAAAGGACCAGTGATTAGCGGCGACACTCCTTTGGTGATCAACGGCAACACTCCTTCTCGTTTCATCGAGGTCGCCTGCACCCGTGGTTTATGAAGTATCATTGTTCATCGTCTCCTTCGGTGAATAGCGGCTGCACTTCGGACCAGTGATCAGCGGCGACACTCCGTCTGGTCCGCTGAACTGCGTTTTCCTCCGAAGGCAGCAGTTGATCCGTTGAATTGCATTTTTCTCTGAAGGCAGACTGAATCCCTATAGCAGAGCCAGATTGGAACCCCCGAAATCTCCACCGATGTTCATGGGTTGATTGAACGATTGGAGGGCTGCCAAGGAAGACAAAAACGACCCCCCACTTGGGTGGTACACGGAAGACGGGTTTGGTACCAACTGAGGCATCGGAGAAGAGATCATCGAGTCTGCGTCTTTGGTCCTCAGATTAGAATTACTACCAGTGGTGGTCATGACAATTGAAGAGGAGGTCGCCGTGGAGCTGAATTGTTGCTGCTGTTATGATTGTTGGGTTACCGACGGGGAGTTGACTCTGTAGATTATCGGCCGGAGAAACTTCCTGTGTTGAGTGCAAAATTATTTCCGTCTGCTTCAGAAATTTTACCTTTCTCGTGAAGAAGAAAGGTTTCATTCTTCAAAAAAAAAAAAAAAACCGGGTTGTCTTCTCGATTTCTTATCGAACAAAAAAGGTTTGATTATGTTCCTTGTCAAATTGACTCGAACAAAGAAAGGTTTGTCTTCTTCGTGTGGCAGGAGAAAAAGGTTTTCATTCTCTGTTCCTGACGAACAGAGAAAAAGGCTTTTGCAGGACAAAAAGTTTGGATTTTTGCCTCACCAGGTAAGAGTAGAGAACTCGGGGGTTCATTCTCGATCAGAACGTCCTGATCTTTAACAGTTCCCGACGAGTCGAAGTTCTGCGGCAGGTATTAAGGAGATTCGGAGATCGGTTCTCTGTCTTTTGTGGCGATTCTGCCGCCGATTGTGGGCTTTTAGACACAATAGTCGGCATGACTGAAAACAGAGAAAAAGGAGCAGGGGCAACAGGAAAAGGTCATGGCGGCCAAGTTAAGGCCAATACAACCAAAGCCTCTATGCAAGGCAATGCATCTCAAGGAGATCCAACCAATATTGGGTTAAATGGACTGAGTAGTGAGCAGTGGAACATGTTGTTCAACCTTTTGAACACATAGAAAGAGGGGAGCCAACGACTAAGTGGTAAGCAAAAATTGTCAGAATGGATAATAGACACAGGGGCCTCTCATCATATGACAGGAAGCCTCCAGTCGATGAGAGACATAAAGAATGTCATTCCATGCTCTGTCGGGCTACCAGACGGTAAAGCGACAATAGCAGAGAAAGAAGGCACAGTTGCACTGGACGATCATCTGAAACTGACTAGTGTTTTATATGTGCCTAATTTGAATTGCAACTTACTTTTTATATCGCAATTGATTGAGGAATCAAATTGTATTGTTCAGTTCACTAATAAATTATGTGTGATATAGGACCGCACTACGAGGATGCTGATTGGAGCGGGTGAGCAGCGAGAGGGACTCTATTATTTCCGAAGCATTGCATCAACAAGAGCAATGAAGACTACAGAGAGCAGGACATGCGATATTTGGCATCAAAGGTTAGGGCATCATTCTTATAGAATTGTTAAGTTTCTGCCTTCTATTAGTACTAAGAATAATAATGATGACAGTATTAAGGGTTGTGATGCATGCTTCTGAGCTAAACAATGTCGAGAAGAGTTTCTTTCTAGTAATAATAAAGCATCCGATATTTTTGAGTTAATTCATTGTGATTTGTGGGGTCCTTATAGAACTGCAGCTTCTTGTGGTACTCATTATTTCTTGACCATAGTAGACGATTTTTCTAGAGGCGTTTGGATTTATCTTCTGGTTGATAAGACGGAAGTGGGACGAGTTCTTCGAAATTTTTTTGCTATGGTTCAAAGGCAATTTAACAAACCTGTAAAGGTGATCTGTACTGATAATGGGACTGAGTTTGTATGCTTGGCTAGTTATTTTGTTGAAAGTGGTATTATTCATCAAACCACTTGTGTCAGGACCTCTCAACAAAGTGGTATAATACCACTCAATGTTGCCCGAGCTTTGCGCTTCCAAGCCAGCTTGCCTATTGATTTTTGGGGGGAATGTGTCCTGATCGCATGTTATTTGATCAATTGAACACTGTCCATTATGTTAAAGGGAAAGACTCCCTATGAAATGTTATTTGGGTGACCTCCTTCTTATGATAATGTGCGAGTCTTTGGTTGCTTAGCATATGCGCACAATCATGGTCATGAAGGGGATAAATTTGTCAGTCGAAGCAGACATTGTATTTTTGTCGGGTATCCTTTTAGGAAGAAATGATGAAGCTTGTATGATTTAGAGTCCGGCATGTTCTTTGCTTCCAGAGATGTTACTTTCTTTGAGCATGAATTCCCGTATGCACACAAAGAGGATGCACAACTGAACAAAGCACAAGATTGTGGAATAAGTGGGACAGATGAGGTGTTGGTACCATCCACTTATTCACCTGGACTAGCAAATGGTGAGATGGAGACTAACCAGCGAGGTGAACTCGCAGAAGAAGGAACCCACGTAGACTCGAATGCCAATACTAGTGAACCCATGCATTCTTTTGACGTCATCACAGAAAATGCAAGCGAAAACAGTCCTGACGTCAAGGGGGGTGGCAATGTTGAGCAACAACAACACTCTGATTCTCATTTGGGGCATGGGCATCGACAGAAACAGCAGTCCACAAGGTTAAGAGACTATATGCTTCACACCACACAGTGCTTGAGTCCCTCTCCGCGTCCCTTTGCAAGCTCACTCGGCCAATCACATCCTGCAGGTAGTCCTTATCCCATAGATAACTATGTGAATTGTAACAGTTTTTCTTGTCGACATCATGCTTTCTTGGCAGCTATTACTGCAGGAGTTGAACCTACTTCTTTTGCTGAGGCCGTAAAGGATGAAAAATGGAGGGATGCAATGCAGAAAGAAATACAGGCACTTAAGAATAATCAGACATAGATCATAGAGCCTTTGCCATCCGGAAAACGAGCCATAGGATGCAAATGGGTATATCGAATCAAGTACAACGTTGATGGGACAGTGGAAAGATACAAAGCCCGTCTCGTGATTTTTGGGAACAAGCAGGTTGAGAGAATTGATTATAATG